CCAGGGTATGGCTTTTGCTGACCGCTGGCTGCCCATCATGCTCCACCTGGCAGGTGAGCACCACACCATCCCTGTGGGCACAGGTGTTCACCAGGAGCCAGCTCATCCAGTTGTAGGTACCATCCTTGTTTTCTGTGAGGGTCGAAGCCCTTTCTGTCTGGGACACATTTCCATTCTCCAACCAGGTCAGCAGGAGTCTCTGGGGGTAGAAGTTGCTCACCTGGCAGGTGATGTTCGCATGGTTCTCTGCCCTCATGAACTGTTGAGTAACCTCCAAGAAGGGTGGAACTGAAACAGCACAGGGAAGAAGCTGTGACCTTGTGGCACAGACAGATCACAGGGAGGGCTCCATAATGTAGCTCCCACCACCACAGTGAGGGGGTCACCAGGACAGTGCTAGGCAGGCAGCATGTGCTCAGACATTGAGGGTGTTGTTTGCATATGAGTGAAATTACTAAGCACAGTGCCTGGCACACAGTAGGTGCTGAAGGACTGGTAGCTCCTACTAGGCTAAGAATGAGTGATATCTACAAGCACCACCCCTGGCATACAGTTGGAATGTAAGAACTGTAGCAAAATCAGTGAAATCGCCAAGCACATAGGGATTTGGCTCCTAGTAGGTGCTCACTAATTGTAGTTGCTCTTGGTGAAATAAATGAAACTCTCTAGCACAGAGCTTGGCACATGGTTGCTGGCTCCCTCACAGCTGCCATTAAAATGATAGTAAGTGACCGGCACACCTAGGTGCATGGCAGGTGGCAGCATCGTCAGGGATTAGATTCCAGGCCATTCAAGATCTAGAGCAGTAGCCTGTGGAGAGGGGAGTGGACTTAGCAGCCAGAAGTGGGCTTAGGCTGGGTTTGAGGGTCTTCTACCTCGGATGGCCTCAGACAAGTTGGCAGTCCCACGAAGAGGGTCCCCCTGCAAGGTGACGTGGGCCACCTCGCAGATGACTTGAGAGTGAACGTCTCTGCGGGTCAGCACCACCCTGGCTGTGCTGCGGATGCTGTAGGACACACTCTTTCCTGCGGGGTCCACGCTGGTCTGGAAGTCTGAGAGCTCGTTCCCATTTTTGAACCATTTCAGGGTGATGTCTCTGGGAGAGAAGCCGTGGGACTCGCAGGTGAAGCTCACTGTGTGCTCAGCTGTGGCCCTCACTGCGGGGCCCGATACCACAGGGGCAGAGGGTTTGGCTGCAAAAGGAGCATCGATAAACAGGAGACATATCTGAGATGACCATCACTAACGATAAGCGTGTGACACGTTAAGAACCTTCTGAGACGTTCGTTTTTAATCTCTCTAATAATGTCGGGAGGGCAGTCTCCTTTTCTCATTTTACAGCTCAGGCCACAACAGCTCTGAGAGGTGAGAACCAGCCCATGGTCAGACAGTGAGTAGGGGCAGGTCCCAGAGGGAAGTCCAGGCCTGAGTTCAAAGTCCTCTCCACACAGGGTGACTTCCACCAATCTTGGCATAGGAACAAAATTACTGACTGGTCTCCCTCCTTGTTAATAACTAGTCCTAGCCAGCCTCCCCCGGAGAGCTCACCAACCTCAGAGAGGGCATTTATAGAAGCCAATGTCAGGAACAGTGGCAAAGTGGCACCACCATGAGAGCTGCAGCCAGGCTGCTTAGCCCAGGAGAGGGGTGGCCTGGCACACCCAGTTCCTCATCTGCAAAATAGGAGGACAGCATTTCTACTTCCTGGGATGTCGCCAGGATTAAATGGGGTGATGGAAGCAGTTCTGCTCTGGATCAAACACAGAAGATGCTTCTCAAAATTAAACACAGATCTATCTTTAACCCAGACTTTACAGATACACAGAGGTCTCTCTTTAGGTATTATACAAATATGAATCGTTCCATATTTTTATTCTTTTCACAAATATTTCATTCTGTCAAATAAAAGGCATTAATTAAGGATAAAGCTTTAACGTAGAACCCACAGTTTGTAAGAGAATTGGAATGACACCTGCTAAAGGTCAAGCCATAGTACGTTGCCGTAGACCTGGATAACAACTAACTGAAGCCAGGGTTCGTGGGATTTTGATCTCTCTCACCTGGAGTACTTTAATTAAATAGTCAATGAGAACAGGTTTGCAGTTTAGGATTTTTGACCAGCTAATGAATTGTTCCCGAAAACAATATTTTGTGAAAGCCCCCTATAAAAAACCTTTCCTGAGTTTCCATACCGGACACTATTCAGGGTTTTGCTGACTCAGTGTATTCAAATTGCACCTCTTTATTTTTCCAATAAATGCTCTTTCCTTTGGCCTTCCTAACCATCATTGTTGTTGTTGTTGTTGTTAGTAGCTCTAACCTGCTGCAAGTCCTACATTTGAAAATAGGAAATTTGTTTTTGGCATCCGGATCTTCAGTTAGGTCAGGTTTGGGTCAAAAACAAGAATCGCTGAGTTCTAAGAAAGCCAAAGGGGATTAATTTTTTCATTGTTAATTAATTACAAGGGACAAAGACCCAGGCCACACCAACAGGCAGAAACCAATTCTGGGCCCTGAAAGCAAACACACTGGAGAATCAGATCAATGAGGCGGTTTCTCCCTGTAGATGAGTTTTAAGGGTGTCTGCAAATTGCTAATTGTTACCTTGAACCTTCTGCCGTCGTCTTAGAAAGCACATATTACACATGTTTGCCTTTGCCAATATTATCTTGCTCCCTAATATGCATGAAATATTTTGAGAGCACAGTAAGGAGGGTGTCACTTGAAGATGTCAAGTCTTTGAGATACCAGCAAATGGGTGTCCCTAGAGGGCTGAGAGGCTGTCTTCAGTTCCCATTTATTGAGGGCTTCTTGGCCGCCTGACACTGGCTGCTCTCTCTGTACCTCTCAGCACTTTAATCCTCCCTCCATTTCTTAGAGGGGGTCCTCATGTGAGCCCTTGTGTACAGCGAGACTCTGAGAGGATCCTTGCTGGCCAAGGACCAAAAGTAGATAGAAACCACACCCTGGGAAGATGAGCTAGGGTAAATGCAAGTGCATAGCCTGGCATGTAGTAGGTGCCTAATAAATAACCCCTGTGACTGTAATCATGAGGTTTGGTCATTACTGCTACTGGAGCTGCATAGCTGTTCTTCAGGCAACAGAACAAAGAAGAGCAGAAACACCAAGGAAAGGCTCAAACCCTACTCACTGCAGCTGCCAGAAAAACCCAAATGATAAAAGGAGCAGCGACCACCATGTTTAGTGAACTGGCTTTCAAGTAAGATCACAGGTGAAGCTGGAAGCATTTTGGAAGAAGGAGGGAAAAGATACCTCAGTGACATCTGGGAGTGCTGAGGGAGGGAGGCTTCTGGGGCCAAGGAGTGAGGATTTGCTGGGCCTCCAGCACCTGCTTAGATACAAACGTTTTCAAGACAGAAGGTTCCCCAGTACTGAGGCTGCATCTGAGCGAGGCTTTGTCCCAGTCTCCTATCTTGGGCCCTGAGCCCAGTAGCATGGGAGGGGTCCTGTCCAGGCTTCTGGGGCCTCCCTGAATGTTCCCAGCATGTCTGTTTTGAAGCACCCATGGCCCAAAAAGCTGTTCTCAAAGCCCCAAAGCCTGGGGCACCGCTTTTGCTGGGGGGCTGTGTGTGAGAATCTTCTGGAGCCATTCAGAACTTTAGATGCCAGGCCCACGTTAGACCAATTAAACTGGCATTTTTAGGGGGATCCTGGGTCCAGCTTTGTTAACTTTTTTTTTGAGAGTTTTCCCAGTGATTGTAATGAGCAGCCAAGGTTGAAAGCCACTGGACCCCAACCCAAACCCCATTTATACTTGGGGCCTAGTGATGCCCTGACCTGTCTGAGGTCACACAGCTTCACCCTAACAAGCTCACATTTATTGAGCATTTACTGTGTGCTTGTTGATGCCCTAAGCATTTTACACGATCTCACTCCTTCAGACTCTGCCCAGTCTGTGAGGTCAGTGTTACCATTAAAAGGGTGGGGACATCGAGGCCTATGGTGGCAAAGTGTCTTGTCCCAGGTGGCAGAGCCAGGAAGAGTCAGAGCCGGGAAGAGGCCCAGGCAGCTGGGATACTGCCCGTGCTCTCCTAACGATCGTTCTGCAGAAGCTCAGTAGTAACCTGAACAACGCCACCATGAGGGGCTCTGTGCACATCCTCTGCAATCCTCACAGAACCCGGAACGGGGCCATGATAATCAGCATCGCACCGATGGGGAACCCAAGGACTCAAGGGAAGGCAAGACTGGCTCAAGATCACATGATCTTGAAATAACACCTCACTTTGGGGGTGCCTACAGTGTGCTAGGTGATTTACAGAGAGAACTTTAAATCCTTTCCACTTTCCTAAAGGAGTCCTTGATTGTCTCCATTCTACAGATGAGGAAACTGAGGCTGAACAAAATGAAGGCACTGTCTCCTCATCCTCCATGTGTCCCAGTGGGCATTTCCTGTGTCCCACCAAGCAGTTACGTCCATTAACAGAGCAAGTGTTTTAGGTTCTTGAGCCCCAACACTGACAGCCACCTCAATTGTCCCCTTGAGATTCTAGACGTCATGCAATGTTAGGGAGAAGCCTCCTTTCTGGGTGCCCAGGCCTGCTTACCCTGCAGCCAGAAACAAAAGAAAGTGGGCTCCTGACAGCCAGAGGGGAGAATCTAAACTCTTGCTCACATGGTCCCCAAACACTCTCTAGGAAATGCCTCGTCTCCTCATCCTTAGTCCTCAGCGCCATGAGCGGGCAGATATATGCTCTGCTGGGCTTCAGGAGGCTCTACTCTGTTCAATGGATGCTGCTGAGTGAAGGAGAAACAGCATAACATGAGGGGAGAGTCCTAAATGCTTCTTGTATGCTGAGACCTGTGCTTTAGGAACCAGCTTGGCATATGATGGGACACATGCAGGACCTTTCTGACAAGAGTGTAAAGCCAGCCCCTCCTACCCCTACAGGGTTATTGGTTTGTTTTTAACCCTTTGTGCCATAGAACTGAACAGTGCAAGAGTTTAGAAAGAGAAGATTGGAGCATTTCTCCACACTTGAAAAACCACAGCTGAGTGTTGCAGAGACAAGGGCTGTGAGTCAGGCTGGGGTGTTCCAGCTTTGTCTCCCTGAGCTGGTCCCAAGTCAGTTCTCCTCTCTGATCCTCAGTGTCCTCATCTTTAAAGGAGGTAGCAAATGGCTCTTCCCTCATAGCACTGGTTACAAGGAAACTCTGGCACAGCCACTGCTCTCTGGCTCCGTTCCCCGCCTCCCTCCTTTCTCATCTAACTCATCATTTAGGCTGAGAGCGTGGCAAAGAGGAATGAGCACTTTACTAGGAGTTAGCAGATCTGAGTCACACCTGAGCCACCACTGGCTGTGACTGCCTGGGCTGGGGAGGCACCACCTGGAAACTTCAGTGTCTTTGCCAATATTATCTGCACAATCAGGATAAAGTCACCTTTCCTAAGTTGAAGGGTTACGAGGAGCTGATTTCAGACATTACTAGGCAATGCACATTTTCATGCACGTACATGTACATGAAAGCATCATGTTTTATGCTTTACATATACACGTTTTTTAAAAAAGCTGTTAGTAAAGCTGTGTGTCTTCTGGAGGTTCTGTTTTTTGCCTTTCCAAATTCCAGAGGCTGCCCACATTCCTTTCTCACAGTTACATCTTCCCATCACTCTAACCTCTTGCTTGCATCCTCACAAGTCCTTCTGCAATAATTAATCTCCTTCCTCTTTCTTGTAAGGACATTTCTTATATATTGTGTCCACCCTGATACCAGAGCCAGATGTTAAAACCACTGTCTTAAAAATGTTTGAAGTAGGGCGAACATGGTGGCTGATGCCTGTAATCCCAGCACTTTAGGAGGCTGAGGTGGGCGGATCACCTGAGGTCAGGAGTTCGAGACCAGCCTGAAAAACATGGAGAAACCCTGTCTCTACAAAATACAAAATTAGCCAGGCGTGGTGGCCTATGCCTGTAATCTCTGATTGCTGTGTCATCTAGGAGGGAAATTGGGCAATATTCTCAAATATGAAAACACACTATCCTCTGATGTAGGAATGCCACTTCCAGTGGGTGTCTCCCGCCTAAATAGGGTGACACATGTACAAGGTCATCCACTGCATGATTGTTTTAGTGGCTAAGGTGGGAATAACTTACATATCCATCAACAGAAGAGTGTAAAATAAAATTTGATATTTCCATAGATTAGAGTATTTTTCAACTGTAAAGAAACTGGAGCAGCTCTCTATGTCCTGATGTGGAATCTTGCTATGGAGTGATAGGGTGTACGTTTGGGAGAAGTTTTCCAATCACCAATGAGCTTTAGTGTCTACATGTGAGGTGCATTGTGAACCTGTGGGAAACTGATGAGAAGAGAAATGCTGGCTCTCTGACCTGTGGTTCTGTTTGAGGAGCTTTTACTGAGCACCTATGATGCACAAGGCTCTTCTATGGAGACAGCATCCAACACTGGGGAAGGAAGGAGACTGCCTCGATTCAGACATGGATTCTGGCTCCAATTCTGTCACTAACTGGCCCTGTGACCATGGACAAGGCCCCTGTCATGTCTTGGCTTCAGTCTTCCATCTGTAAAGGGGGTTGGGCTGGATGGTCTGAAGTTCCTTCCTGTGCTGACATTCCAGAATTCAGGAGTTGGGACGAGGCTCTTGAGCCTCTGGCAGGAAACCCCAAATAAGCTGCCTTATATGGGGAACCCCTAAGTCACCCAGTTGTGGGACCTCTTTCCTGAGGTGAAGGACATTCTGAGATGACGCAGCTCTGCTCAGAGCCCATGGTGACTGTGTGACTCAGTCCCTGAATCACACAAGGGTTTCCCAAATGGACCCACAGCAAATGCCAAACTTATTGGCATCTCCTCCCACCAGGCCATCAGATTCAACAGTGAATGTGCCTCCCAGGAATCTTCCCCGTGGAGTGTTTCTGAAGATTAAATTAAAAAAAGAAAAAAACACGATTTACCCTCTCCATGCCCTGGATGGGTTTCTCCTCATTAGAAGGGAAGAGAATGT